GCCTAGGGGGCTATTTAAGTAAACCACTGCTTCATGGTATTTAAGCGCTTGCAGTGCATAGGATTCATGACCACATCACTTAGTTGGGTTGAACAAAGTTGTAGCCTGAACGCATTTTTCCACGATTCGTAGGCAAGTACAGTCAAGGTAAAACAACCAGGATGTTCTGGGGTAAGTTTCGATACCGTAGTTAAATACGTGACATTAAAAATAACGTCACCGGATTGTTCTCACAAAGTCTCCTTAATCATGTGTTTAATTACAGGCGAAAAAAGCGTCGCCGGCAGCACCGATGGAGTCGATTTTGTGCGAATCTTTAAGCCACTCTGCCGTCGTGATGTTCGTCACTAGTTTTACGACGGCAGTCGCATTTTGCACGAACGTCGTCAGCCACATCAAGGTCATCAAATGTTTCGGACTTTTCGCTGGAACGGCGGTCATTTGCAACTACCTGACAGTCGTCACTTGGCTACCGGCCGCAACGGTGGTCATCGAGAACGCCGGTCAGTGTTTAAAGCACAAGTCGTGGTTTTCGTCCTCGGACAGCAGTAAACAGAAGGTGCCCGCCCGGCTTCCGATATGGTCGAAGATCATCTCCATCTATCAGCAAACGTTGGTGTGGTTGCAACGCGGCGAAGACAGCCTGAGCGAGTTCCTGTTCCGTTGGCTGTTGCCAAAGATTGTCGTCAAGTTACATTGGTACCTGCTGGTCGGTCTCGGTTCGTTGTCCGTGTACGCCGCCATGTCCGTGTTTTGGTACCCGGGCTTGGGGTTGCCCCAACGGAAGTTTGTTCAGTTCCTACGTACTGATCACCCGTACGAGCGCTGGAGCGCTGGCCTCAAGGAAAATTTTGCGTTCGCCAACAGCACAACCAACTGTATGCCGATGATTACGCGCGTGGTGTGGGGAGTCGAACCGGATACTCGTGAGGAACCGTTCAACCCTTACGAAAATCCGAAGTTTGTCCTTTCGCCGAACAACACATTCGATATGACGGATGACGTGGCGCTGTTATGGATGATGCGATTTTGTTCACGCCTAATGGTACACAACTTGACCAACCGCATGCAAATGCCGCTGGTGGTGTCGTGCTTTGTACAGG